CAACTTCTATAAGTATCTATGTTATATAAAGGAAAAGTGCTAGAAAAAGTTCTCAGATCTTAAGAAGGACTTTAAAAGCAAGAAGCGCAGATGATAAGGCGGTGGTAAAAACTGCAGTGCAAAGAAAGCCCGTATAATAAAAACGCTAGAGCTAGGGGAGACTTAAGATACTAGCGTAGTAATAGTTAGCTGCATTGCAATTAACTAGCCTATAGCTGGCCTTACATCTGCCTCCTTATCTAATGCTAGCTTTGCAGCTCTAACTTAGGCTCTATAAAATAACTGGATTATAGATACTAGCTATACTAACTATGCTATAGGTAACTCGGCCCACTTTATTAACCTTAAATAAGAGGACTATAGAACCTGCAGTGGGGTAGGCGGTGCCATCAAATTCGAAGGCATAGGCATAGTACATATCTCAATTTATAGTGCTAATAGCAAACCTATAGTCCTATGGCTCTTAGATATTAAATACTATTTATCTATAGGAGCTTTTAACTTAATTTTAGTCTTATAGCTATTCCAGTGGGGACTTACTTCCACTATAATAAAAGACGCTATCTCTTAGGCCATCAGCTGTTATAAGGTGGCTGCTAGCCACTTAAACAGTCTATAGCTTCTTAACTATACTAAATAACTACCTGGCTACTAGCTAGGTATTACACTTATAGTAAAATTATCCCAACTACTACTATCTCTAGGTCACCATCCTACTTCTTCTTTAGATAGTCCTACTATAGGCATTTTAACTGCTTTACTAAAATCTCCTTAGTTACTAGTTCCCTCGCCTTACTCTTACTTAGGTTACTATCCCCCTCTTTACTTAGACCATACTCTATAGACCCTTCTACCTATTATTACAGAACTATCTATTTGCGCCTTTCTATACTATAGTCTAGCGCTCTACCCTCTCCTTATAGCTATTACTCTCCTAGCTATCTAATTATATCCGTTGCCTACTAAGCGCCCTAAGTATGCCTCCTAGTCCTATTAAATCGCCTAGAATTATCTTCTATAGCATAATTAGCTAAGGCACCTCAGCGCTTAAGGCCTTAGCAAAGTCGCGGCAACTATAAATAAAATCGACTTCTAAGAGGTCTAGCTAAAGGATTCCTATATTTATGAAACCTATCTTACTTAGAAAGGTAAACGCTGCTTATATACTTATTATATCATTCCAGGGGAGCATCCTATAGCCCTTATCCACTTAGACGTTGTTAGTCTAGTGCCTATAAAAGGCTATAAAGGCTTATAGTACTTTATAACATTTAAATGCAATAAAACCAAAATGGCTGCCATGTACTACATAAAAGCTAAGCGAGAAGTTACAGACTGTTTTATCCACTTCTAGAAGCATTTTAAATGCCCTAACCTAAGCTAGACTATACGGCGGTTATATAATAATAATAGTAGTAAATATATTACTAGGCGTCTCTAGTGATATTTATTTCAGTATAGCGTCCTATAGGAATTAACTGAACTATATACGCCCTAAATAAATAGTCCATCCAAACGCCTTAGCTAAATGATCTGGCAAAAAGCCGCTTCACTTCTCAAGTTAGCTAGCCTGCCACTCTAATACTAGCCTAAAGCTGTAAAACATGCTAGCTACCTCTATATGCGTAGTATTTACTCTATTATTTGCAAATCACTATTTAAAGCCTAGTATAGACGTGTACTATATTACTTATATATTAATATCTTTAGTTCTATTATCTATTACTATAACTCGGGCAAGAAAAAGAAGCTATAGGATAAAATAACACGTGGGATCCTAATTAGCTATAAGGGAGATATAATTTGCTATATTCTTAAACTAGATAGCTGTATTATATATGGTGCAGCTATAAAAGCAATTAAACGTATGCTATAGGAACAATTTAATAAGAAAGATAAGGGAATAGTTTATAACTTACTACTTAACTACTTCTCGGATCTAACCTAGCTAGCAAAATTAGTTCCTTATATGCCTATCTTATACCCCCTATTAGATCTACTAGTCCATCTATAATAAAAGCATCCGATATATTAGGCCTCCTTCTCTACCTTAGATCCGGATGATAATAACCCCTCTTTAGTTATATGCCTACTTACAGATACTATAGACCTTATAGACTTGCTATCTAATTCACAGCTAATATTGCCTATTCCACGGCCTATACCTTTACCTGTAGATCTATAGATAAAACCTCTAGTATAAGACACTAATTTATAAAATCATCCGGTTTTATTAGTTTAAATTTCACCTTAGCTGTAGTCTTACAGCTTCACCTATCTGCAGTTATATTGGCTACTATCCTCTCTGCAACACCTACCTCTCTACTATAAAGCTAGTCCTTCTTGCTAGCGGACCCCCTTATAGTTACCCTCTCTTAACCTTAATAAGGAAGCCTTCTAGCATAGCCCACTAGCTAAATAGGAGCTATGCTATTAGGATATCTATAAAGGAGTTAACTATGCTAATAATATATATAATAACTTAAATGATCCCTGTAGCTATATACCTAAATATATATCCCTAGATAACGATTTAAATGATATAGAACCTAGAGTATCTACTCCTAGTAGCAATAGCTTTAACTACCTTCTAGCACTAAAACTATACTATATAGAAACGCCTAAATCGGACTATATATTCTAGGATGCTAATATCTAGCGCGCTGACCTGCCTAACTATCCTAATCTATAGCCTAAATCGTCTTTACTAGACCTGCTTTATATTAGAATAGCAGCTATCTCTACTGCTAAGCTAGATGCCTATAACCTCTTTTTGGTCCTTATATATATCTCCTCCTTTACTAAGACGTCCCTACTATCTTTCCTTAGCTATATAGACTTACTAGAGCTATTTAAGCCTAAGACCCTCTAGCAGGCTATAAACAGCCTATAGTGGAAATACTAGCAGGCTGCAATTACAGATAAATATAAATCACTAGTAGAGAATAGGACCTAGGATGTCTAGACAGTCCCCTGCGGATAGTCTACCCTATCTAGGAAGTAGGTTTTCAAGATAAAATATAGAGCTGCAGAGGAAATTCTATAGTATAAGGCCTGCTAGGTAGTCTATAGATTTAAGTAATAGAAGGGACTAGATTTCACTAAGACCTTTACCTCTATAGTTAAACTAATATTATATAAGGCTATCTTTACTCTTATAGCTGCATATAACTAGGAATTAGAATAGATGGATGTTAAAATAGCTTTCCTCTATAGAGATATTGCAGAAGACGTTTAGATTAACCTTCCTATAGGTTGCAGACTTACTAGCACTATAACTGCTAAGCTAAATAAGGCGCTTTATAGTCTTAAGTAGTTGCTCTATATATAGTATAACACACTTACTAACTTCCTCTTAATAGTAGGTTTTTAAGCCCTTAATGCTAATGCCTCTATCTTTACTAAGAAAGGCATTATTATTGCTATCTATATAGACAACCTCCTTATCGCTAGCGAATCTAAATCAGCTATTAATACCCTAAAAGCCGCTTTATCTAAGCAATTTTAAATGTCCGACTTAGAACTATATCACTTCTACCTTAGCATAGAAGTTATCTATGACTATCTATACTAGACCCTCCGCCTATTCTAAGAAGCCTACCTTAAAAAGGTCTTAGAAGACTATAGTATAGCAGACTATTACAGATTAAATATCCTTATAGATCTATATTCTTATCTTATCCTATCTGTAGATCTGTAATATATAGCCCTAGCAGCTTTCTGCTATAAATACTAGTCGGCTGTTAGCTCCCTAATATATGCTATGCTAGACACCTATCTAGATATTGCTTTTGCAGTTTTAGTTATCTTATAGTACTCTGTAAACCCTATAGAAGTATATATAACCCTAGTTAAGAAGGTGTTCCGCTACCTTAAGGATACTACATCTATAGGCCTCGTCTTCTACGGCTCCCTAGCTCCTCTTATAGGCTATATAGACTTAGACTATGCTAGCAATTATAATACCCGGCGCTTGACTTTAAGCTATATCTTTAATCTAGGCTCTATAGCTATCTCTTAGTTATCTAAGCGCCAACCTACTATATTACTCTCCACTTATAAAGCTAAATATATAGGCTAGACAAATGCTACTAAGGAAGCGATCTAGCTCTAAGGCCTCCTTAAATAGATCCACCCGGATTTAGACCTAGGGCTTAGCACTACTCTTATCTACAGTAATAACTAAGAGGCTATTATATTAGCTAAGAATAGCGTTTTTCATAGATAAATAAAGCATATTAACATGTAGTATCACTTTATCTAAGAGAAGGTAGCAGATAGCACTATAGAACTAAAGTATATCTATATATTAGAAATAGTTGCTAACGGGCTAACTAAGGCCCTACTTTATAACCCTTTTTAGCAGTTCTATAATGCTATAGGAGTTAAATGATATATGTATACTATAGAAGCATAAAAGCTATAAGAGTATAGAATGTTTTCTTTTATCTAGAGGGGAGATTACGCTTTCCTTTTACCTCTTTTTAGCTCTTTTTATGCATTTTTGCTATACTTTAGAAATTCTAATTTAAGTATCACTTTTATTTTTATATCCTCTATATATCCACTAAGCCACTTTATGGTACTACTATAAGCTATAGTCTTATGCTTATGCTTCTAGCTTAGTTATACTTATCTTCTTCTTTATCTATACTTCTACTATATTTATTAGGTTTACTTTAGCATATTAGACCTTTTATAGATCCTTTTATCCTATGTGGTTTTGGACTGTGGTTTACTAGTAATGTAGCCTGTGAGAGCTAGCCTCTATATTCTTGTATCTAGTTGAGTGGGAGTGTTAAAATGTTAACTAGTTATATGTATCACGTGGGAGCTTCGCTTCTAGCCACCCCTCTACGGGGGGCTAGGGGCCGTATATAGATGTGGGCGTAGTCTACATCATAGTAGTCAAGTAATATAGTTCTACTATTTCAATAACTAGCGCCTGCAATACATACTTTTAGGCTATCAAGACGGCCAAAAAGGATTACTAGAACTAGTTTCTGGAAAAAGAGGACTCTAAATCGATTTTTAAAGCCTTAGCCTATATGAAGTCAAGGCAGTTAGAGCTAGTCCCAAATCTGAAGCTTTCTGCCACCTAATTTGCAACCATATTCACTACTAAATGCGACCTCTTCCGCCAGACGCTCTTCCTTCCACCTCCCGAAACAGCTAGCCTAAAGTAGACGTCATACACCGCCTTAGACCAGTGGTAATAGCTAAAGCTAGCACTAGACGAAGTGAAATAAGCCTGTTCTAGTGAAATCAAATCCACTAGCCCCGGCCCGGACTATATCACTTAGACTATTATTACCCACGCATTTTCAGTATGCCCTTCCCAGATTTCACTCCTTTTTAAGACGCTAGTAAACACTGGCTATTATCCGAAGTGCTAGCGCCAAGCGAATTGCACTATACTACGTAAAAACAACAAACCAGACTATAAGCAGCCTAGCGCCTATCAACCTATTTCACTCCTAAATTACCTAGGAAAAGTCAGCAAAAGGATCCTAGCTAGGCGACTAGCTTACTTAGCTGAAACCATACCAAATCTGCTGCATCCTAGCCAAATCAGTAGCCGACTTAAAAAGTCAGCTATAGACGTAGGCGCTATGCTAGCGGATTATGTCCACATAAATCGGCTATAAAACAAAATTACTAGTACGCTCCTACTAGATGTGAAAGGGGCATATGACTATATGTCTAAGAACCGGCTACTTATAATTCTTAAGGATTTAGCCTTTCCCGATTCAGTTATTAAGTGGGTCTTATCCTTTATAAGCGGGCAGTCACTTAAGCTTCTATTTAACAGATAATCGGATGAAAACCAGCCTATTTAGACTAGAATCCCACAAGGAAGCCCTATTTCGCCTATCCTTTTCTTGATCTATATACGAGGCCTATTTAGGTTATATGCAGTCAAATTTATCTCTTATATAGACGATATCACTCTCTCTTTCATATCAACTAGCCCCTGCAAAAACGTTAAGATACTATAGCTAGTAGCTAAAGGGCTTTTTCAGCTAGCTAGTAAAAACGCAATCTAATTCGACCTGAAAAAGTCTAAACTAATTCACTTCAGCACAGGCGAACGCGCTAAGCTAGCGTCCCTTATACTCCTAGACGGGACTATAGTCCCCCTAAAGCAGATAGTTAAGTGGCTTGGTATTTACTTTAATGCCCTATTACGATTTAAGGAGTATATTACTATCTGCACCGCTAAGGCTAAGTCCGCATTTAGATGTATGTCTAGGCTGGCCAATAGCAAACGAGGGCTTAGTCCCACCGCTTTTAGACAGCTATACCTAGCTTGTATTACTAGCATGTCCGACTATATGTTACTAATTTAGTGGCAAGGTTAAGCATATGCAAAAGACTACCTATAGCACCTCTAAAATTTGGCACTATGCAAAATCCTAGGCACTTTTCAAACTAGTCCAATTTAGGCCATGGAAGTCGAAGCTAGCCTCCCACCGCCCGTAATACGACTAGATATAGCTACCTGTAAATACGCTTTCCGGCTAGCTAAGCTAAGTCCGGACTATCTAGTGAATCGCTAAATTGCCGAATCTAGCTACTCAGGATATGGACTTTAGACGATTGCTAGGACTATTGCACCCCTGCTTAGCGGCAAAATCGAACCTATACACCACTTCCACTTTGCCCCTTAGGACCGCTCTATCCCCTGGGACACATGAATCGCTAAATTGCCAAAAGAGGAAACTGCCACGATACACCGCCAGCAAATATAGTCACAATTGCTAAATCAGGTGTTATACTACTTAGACGGGTTGCAAATGCCTAAAAGCACTGGAATTGGAGTGGGACTAGCGGGCTACAAATGCGCTAGTCGCCCTTTTATATAACTAGCCCGAAATATAGGTCCCTACCAAATCGTCTATAATAGAGAGCTAGAAGGCATTGCCCTAGCATTCGAAGATGCGACGAGACTAGGCCCAAATAGGGACATTCGGGTGTATGTGGATAACCAAGCCGCCATTTATAGGCTAGCGCGGCCTTCCGATAATCCGGGCCAAATTCACTAGCTACGCGCTATTGCAGCCGCTACTAAAATAGCCCAAAACGGATCCACGCTAGCAATAGAGTGGGTCCCCGGACACCAAGACATCAAAGGAAATGAAGAGGCGGATAGACTGGCCAAATTAGGGTCCAAATCACTTCCGACCACCCAGACCGCCCTGACTGCCTATATAAGCTATGCCTATATAGGCATAAAAATCAACTAAATACGACGGCATGCGTGGGCGAATGCTCTAGCTAGCGGCAAAGGCCACTACTTTGACTTTTTCAACCCACGAATTCACTCTCGAATACAGCTTCCCAAAACGGCTAGATCCACTGCTAGCGCCTTTTACCAGCTTAAGCTACGACACGGCTACTTTGGGACATACCTAAAACGATTCGATAAAACACCCACCAATCACTGCATATGCAGTTACAAGCCTGAATCACTATAGCATCTTATACTACGATGCCCTGAATAC